ATCAAGCGCGTCTCGAGCATTTTTAAGTACGATAACAAAAAATATCCTGGATCTTAGGGATTGATAAAGCGATAATAAAATTTTCGAATTTCTTCTCTAAAGTTATTGTAATGAAAAGGACTGATGAACAAATAGACAAAGAAGTTCAAGTCGATTTAGAGTTTTGCGTTGAATAAAAAAATGTACTCATTATACAGTCTCAGATGAGTATTTTTGATGCTACCAAAGGAAAAACGAATCTATTGTATCATCCATCTTCACCGGTGAGTAGATGGAATAAAAGATGGATATTAGACTTAAACGATACAATTTATTTATATTATCCCACGTCGCTTGTGCTACAAGGGCATATCGACTTTGTGCGGATATACAAAGCACCCAACAGGGAGTTGGGAGTTGGGTGCTTTTCCCACCTTCATCGAGAAGAATTGGAGTAACGCAGTAAGTAGTTGAAGTACCAAAATTGATTCAGAAAGTGATTTAAGCTTGCCTGCCCGCCTATCCCTCTGATGCTAGCCCATGTATTCCAGCCTAAAAAATTTTTGGGAAATTTTAATGAATGCAATTAACTGTATCAAGCGGCATGGTGTAGAGTATGAAATGGTCGACTGTTGTCCCCCATATTACTTTTACTTCTTTCATTTTTTTTAAAGTTCATTCATGTGAACTTGAATGGCGCTTCCCTGAAACCTCAAAATGGTGAACATCAAAATTTCGCCCGAACTGTTCATGATTTCTTTCCTGCCGCACAACTTGGCCTTAAAGTAAAACTTAACGAACTTCATATGATTTTTTTTAAATTTTTTTTTCAAATCAATTTCTCAAATAAGGCGTAACTTGATCGTGAGAATGCATGTTTAGAGTTTTTAATGAAGCAAAATATATTCACAGGCAAAAAAGAAGAAACCAAAGTAAACTTGGAACGCAATAAATGCAACTTGCAAATGTAGTTGCACTGACTACAACATAGAGCCTCGATATTTATAAACTTATACTTTGTAAACTGGGCGTTATCTCTACTTTTGCAATTGGGTCGGATGATGGTGATGGCGATGGCGATGGCGATGGCGATGGCGATGATGATGTTATATATGCTGTTATTCATTATCCGCTCAATGCGTAAAGCGAGGGTGTGTCCGTCTACATACAGGTATATTTATATATTACACCAAAGTAATATAAAATGCAATTCCCATAGCATGTCCACGATACGTAAGTAAGCCTAAGTGTCTTGGAAAGCAATCAGTGCTGGTCCCCTGTTAAGCGTAAATTTTCAACGCAATATGATATATAAGTTTAAAGACTAGCGTACAAACAAAGTCACTCTTTTTTTATATTTTATTAAATAGTTTAAGCGTAAGTTTGAACCTATGGATGTCATTACAGTAAACCGTTGCATTTGTTATCATATTTCTTAGCTTGCGGGCTTTCACTGCAATAATTTAAACGAGTTTTCCTTTTATTAGGCTTTTTTTATGTTCAACCGAATTGTACGATTAAATCTTGATTAACATATCAGAGCTTCCCTGATGCTCAGAAAATGATAAATGATCTCAGTAATCAATCTCTTATCGTATTTACTAATCTTACTTGATATGTAAATACACGCTTTCCCCTCCTAAGCGCTTTAAATCTTTATTAAGAGAAATCAACAATAAAAATTTTTTAATTTAAAGCAATCTTAACAATTTGTCAAAAGAAAAAAAAAAAAAGTTGAATTTTTCATTTCCGTTGCCACAATAGAAAGATTAACCCAATAAAACAAGCCATTGTCAAATATTCCAATAACTTGAATACTTGTTGTAAATCAATTTTGTCCTCTATTTAGATTGTTATTGTTGTTGCTATTGTTATAATGCTTTATGGTATGGCTCGGAGTGTTAGGCACTTAAAGTCGTAATGAAAAATGTTTTCAAGGTGGTGAAACAACTCTGATACAAACACCAGCCTTAACAACTATAACAGCAACAGCAACAGCAACAGCAAAAATAACAATAACAACAGCAATGCGAACAAAGAAAACAAAAGAATTAAAGAAAAAAGAAAAACAGAAAGAAACGTCAGGCTCAGCTTAAAGATTGCCCGTCTGAGCTTTACACTGTTGTGGCTCGATATTGTATCAATTTTTTTGGTTTTGCCTTTTTTTTCTTTTTTTTATTCACATAAATATTATGCCAATAAATCATAAAATAGCAAACTGTGTGACTCTTTGCCATCGTTGTGTTGACTTAATTCATTCTTGCTTTATGGCCACTTTGTCGAATTGTCGAGTCGATGCCATTGTTAAAGCTCTGTCCTTATGTGTACCCCTTATACATGCATGCATATCTATCATGGAATAGCTAGCAACACTCTCATAACCGACTGTATGCGACCCTATGAACGACCTGTTGTTACAAGTATTCGCTTTTGCTTTTTTTCATTTATTTTCTTCAGCTGCTGTTCTCGCCGTTGCTGCTATTATTGTTTTTGTTGCCGTCGTTGTTAAAATGAATGACATAATATTCGTATTAGAGTAACGAATTCGACTCACGAAGTGAGGTGATGGTTGCACATATTTCCCCACTTGTACACACATTTTGAAACGTAACGCAAGACAAACACATATACATATATATACACTGTTTGGGTTGAGTATTATGGATGTCATTGTTTGTAGATTATTTGTATTCTTTGTTTCTGTTTTTCATTCATATTCCATAGTAAAGCATTTTAATTTATTTTAATTCGAAAACCGATACTACACAATAATCGGAAGTGATGAAGCAGTCTTAATTGGCGCAATCAGTAAACCCGTTCGTTACCAAGGTCTCTTGGGAAAAACATCCACTATAGTTCAAGGTGTTTTTAAACCTTCCGTGGCCAGGGTCTCTTGGGAAAAGCATCGACCATAGCCCAAGATTTATTTAAGGCAAGAAATTTTTAACCCATTTTTTGCCCGAATCCCTTGGGACAAATCACAACCACAGCCTAAGAATTTTTAAAAATGTACAAATATATCACATATTTCGGGAAATAACTGATCAACTGCCTCTTGAAAAAGCGAAGACTATTGCTAGAGCCGACAAACTATGTTTCATGCACTGCATAAGGAAATCTGCCCTTTACTTGAATACGCCCTTTCAACTTCCAATTTACATATATATCATCACATCAGATAAAAGACTACACTTTTTAGAGTTAACTTTTACATTTTCAGTCCTTCCACCGAGCCGTTGCCGATATATTCATTTTACAACAACATAAAAGCAAACTTTCCCGATCCTCTAAAGTGTATATGCTCTTGGTCAGCATAAAATTTTGAATCGATCTAAGCATTTCTGTCTGTCCGTCTGGACATTTACATTTCTAGTTTTGGCAAGAAGTAAGACATCGGGTTCAAATTTGCAAAAAATATTCAATTTTCTGGCATCCATGCAGTTTGAAATTGAAAATGTGACAAATCGTTGAAGGAACACACGCACATTACATTATTTTGTTATTTACTACGTATAAACTACAAGGGATGCAATGATAAAAATGTCTACAAACATATATCCATTGCGTGATCCTAATCCATGTTGGGTAGAAAAATTAATCGAATCGATGCAGAAAATTCATTTCCTTCGAACTTTTATTTTTTAGAAGAAGAGTATGATGAGCATAGAGGGTTCGTCCACAGCTGCATATTATTATTATTATTATTATTATGCTTCTAGGACTAAAGTATGGATGAGTAAGGTTATCGTCTTTTTCTTTTTTAAATTAATAACTTTTCTTCTTCTTTTCTAATTTTCTTTTATTACACGGCATCGCCATTTATTTCTCATATCATTAACGAGAATGAGCGAAAGACTTAAGCAAAAAACTTCTAAATTTTATACAAAAGAATGAAATATTTATGGAAGTGAAAGAAAAACGCAGTCATTTTCAGACAGTTAGCTAGACTTCGCCCTACCTTACCGCAAGACTTTCGTTTTTTAACTTTCCTTTCCAATACTAAACAGTATACTCATGCGATCAGCAAAACTCCAATATAGTGCTTCAATCATTCCGTCCGAGAAGCTTCAAAAATTCATATCAGACATGTCTTCACCTCACACTTTTACCTAATGCCGCTACATTGATATAACTTGTTTTCTCAAGTTGGACCTTGGAACATATCGTCAGTTGAATTTACATTAAAATTTGTATACTTTCGACAAACTACCGCAAGAGATTCATCGTCAAAACTAAACATATATACCAAATCGATAGATAACGACATAGAATTTTACCAAAGAAATAATAATTGAAGCCTTACTATCTATCACCAGTTAGCTGGCAATGTACCTAGTTAATCGGTGAGGTACTCTCGATGGCATAACTTGTACATGTTAACCTGAGGACATAGGCCACTTATTAACTTTTGAACTTTAAAACTGATCACGAAAACCTACTTCATGCAAATTGTCTACATATCTACAGATAATAACACAAATTAATCCATTGCCACATCAATATTTTATAAAAATTGTTGCTATAAACTCTTTGGATGCTTACATACAATATCCACTTCTGGCTTATTTCTCTCCCTTTTCGTTTTCATTTGGTAGTTTTTTTCCCCTCGGAAGAAGTCTGTCCTTTTATTTAATTTGTATATCTATATATATATATATATATATATATAGGATTAGACGATTAGACATAACAAAATTCTCAATTAATTAAACTAGCGAAGCTTGATTGCAATTGCTGCGCCACATCCGTCCATCCGTCCGTCCAGAAAAAAAAATGTCAGCATTTTTAAATGAAAAATGTCTTTCGACATGCTTTACCTTTTCGCTTCACCTTATGCCATTTCGAAAGTCTTCGCCTTCTATTTCTACTTCTTAATATAAATCGGTGAAGATGATTAATGTCCTTGCGACTTTTCGCTTCGGCAAATGTAAACATTCGTACTTTGTTTTTAAATGCTTAGATAAATTCACATCACATTTATTTGAAAAAAAAAATAAAAAATGTTTCCCTAAATGTTTTTCCTAATTAGCCTCAGATGCAACCGCCGATGACTCGACTTCCAGATAATCAGATATCAACTGACATATATTCGAAGTGGCATCGAAAAATGTGCTTTCCTCCATCCCCTCACCTACGTAATGATAAATGAAGGCTCGTCTCTCGTACAGCTTATCAAATTTGTTAACTAAACGACACCAAGCATCACCTGCAGCGAGAGCCCGCATTAATTCAAGCAATCAGCTTTCACCTTGCATCATACTCACGTATACCGGTATGGTTAAAAATACCACATACTGCTCGAATAGACGGTGCTAAGTCACCGCCCGGTACAAAACTTGGCGGCACAGCCGTAACACCAATTTTGAAGCCAGCCGGCGACCAGTCAACGAAACGTGCACGACTGTTACTGCGCGTATTCTGTATAGCGTTATTGACGTCAGCATTTCTGATATCACCGCGATAAAGTAAAACACACGACATATATTTGCCCACAGTAGGATCACAACGTACCATTTGATTGCCGGGTGAAAAACATTCGGCAGTCATTTGTTCAACAGTGGTATCGACAAAAGCATAACGACTGATCGGCACCAAAGGGGCAAAAGTCAATAGGGGGTAATGTATACGAGGATAAGGCACTAAATTAGTTTGAAATTCTTGAAAGCCGACAGTAGGTGAACCAGAAAATCGTTGCGACGCCGTAAAACAGGAGACCACCTACACGTATATATATATATATATTTAAAAAGCGAAGGAATCTGTTGAACAAGATTAACCCCACCTGTCCTATAATACGATTTAAATTTGTGTACGTCGGAGATGGTACATCCAATTTATGGGCACATATATCATATAAGGCTTCATTGTCTACAATGAAGGTGACATCGACATAATCCATTGAGAAATGTGCGGCCAATAAAGCATTGTACGGCTCTACGATAATCGGCGATAATCTGCAGCGATAGCGTGCATTAATCCAAGCAATAAGCTTGCACCGTACACCATACTTACGAAGGTGACGGAAAGACGACAAATTCGATTACAGTCATCTTACGGCCGTAGTCGTCTTTAATTTTCTCCAATATACGAGTGGCGAGACCAGAACCCGTGCCCCCACCGATAGCCCGAAATACCAAAAAACCGCGAAGATTTGGACAATTCGCCGCCACTTTTCTAATAGCTTCCATGGAACGGTCCAATAATTCCGTAGCCAATAAGTTATAACCTCGAGCAAAGTTACTGCCACTATCCTCGGCACCGTTTATCAAGCTATCGGGATTAAATAGATATCGATACGCGCCAGTTCTTATCTCATCTGCAAATGTTTAAAGAACACCAGAGATTCGATCATTTTTAAAATTCCCAGTTTTTAACGCAAACATACAAACCGATAACTGTGGGCTCTGTGTCGACCATGACTAATCGGGGCGCTACTTTACGATCGAAGCCAGTAAAACTGAAAAAAGTCAGAAGCGATGCATCATCTGGGTATGCGGCCAAACAGCCCGTTGGCAGTATGCCATGATCTAAACAATATAACTCCCAGCATGCATTGGCAATTTGTACGCCGGCCTGTCCAATGTGCACCTGTATTATTTCTCCCTAGAAAGGAGACCTTCTCTTAAAGGATTCCACTACAACCACGCAAAATGATACCTACGCGAGATGACATCTCAGATGTTGCTAAGTAATGTGAACTATAACTCTTAAGGCAAGCATTAGATTATTGGTGTGCTTCACTAGAAATTTTGATGCAATTTAAGGCCAAATTAAAATTTTAAGTTATTTTTATTTATTTATTTGCTTATTTTGTTTGTAAACTTTTGTAACTTTTGTTGTGTTTTAAATTTTTTAAATGTCAAAATATTATTTTTGAATTTTTTTTGTTTGGATTTTCAGGTTGAGTACAAGAGATGATCGAACTTGCATTGCTTATTATCAGTAGCAGCATAGAGAGAGATCACTAATAATGTATAATAGGAGTGATCAAGAATCTGTGAAATTAAAAGGAAATACAAGGGAGATCTTTGATTACTTTTTAATGTAATATTAATGTTTCCTTCCTTTTCTTCTTAGTTTTGTGATTGAGGAAACAAATTTAATATCTTTGTTAGCTTCCGATTCACTTCTTGTTTTTCTCTAATAAAAAAACATAGTGGGATGCGGCCCCCAAACACGTCAGAGCAGCAAATTTCATAAAAATATCCCACAAAAAAAGGCGGCCTGCAGTTTGAGCACAAGAAAGCAAGGCGGATTGACGGACGGACGGACGGACGGACGGATGGAGAAGCTTAGATTGATGCAAAAACTGATTCTGAATCAATCGATTTAATACCAAAGGTGGGTCCATCCCAACTCCTTCTGGATGCTACTTGGCACATCCGCACAAACTTAATACACCCTTGTATTATAAGTTGTGTAGGGTATAGACAGCTGTCTATGGTAGGATTCAAATTTTCTACGTATTTAATATAGAGCGCTTTGGATATTTTAAATTCTCAGGCTTGTAACTTAGGCACCGGTTTGTTTAAATTTTATGTTTTATGGATTGCAGTTCTCTATTAATTTAACGCTTAAAATTATCGTTGATCTCTTTAAGGAATTATGTGTTTGGGCATTACATAATTACGTCGTTGAGCATAATGAGTGCGTTTGCATTGTCGAAGCCTTTAGTCTAACTCTTACCCCGAAAAGGAACGGGAAGGAAAGAGCATACAGTCAAATGGCTGCTAAACGATGTCCGCAATGCTAGTTCACTCTAACCGGTATGCAATACAGTTATTTGCTCTCTTAAAACTTTGCTTAAACAAAATAGTGGTGAAGTTTTTAGACAGAAGAAACTGAACAGAATGCGAATAATTTGACAGCTAATTTATGGGATAAAGCGGCACAATACATGCTAGACAATCGAGAGAATAAATGAAGATGGTCAGCTTAGTTATATAATACATTTTTATTACAACAAAATAAATCTCGAATCAGTGACATTAATGTATTTGATTATTTTTAGAAGAATACATATTTTCTTATTTAACTTTAATAAATAACTAGACAAAATTGTCTCATTTAAAGAGTAATCAGTAGTGGAAACTATCTTCAAAACAACTACACCAATAGATAGGTGTCGAACATGTTGCGTGCGCTCTTCCTCTTTTTGGAAGGGCACCAATCAATTAGACACTCGGATCTTACATTTTTTGCCTTATACCACTGTTCTATTCTTAACATTTCAATGCATCTGTACGTTACTTACAAGTGAACTTAATACAATTAAAAGGAAATATTAAAATTAAATTAAAATTAAAAATAATCTCTTCTCGCCATGATATATATTAAAAATATGAGTTCTTTTGGATTCGACTAGAGAAACATATCAAGTAAAGGAGGAATGCAAGTCCTTCGTAAAGAAATATATTTAACAGACTTTTTTTAATTATGTTTTAGAGCAAAGATTGTTCCAGCATAATACGTTCGAAACCAGCTGGTATAGGGTACAGAAAATTGTCCAATATTATATCCACAATAGCGCCGTTTCCCACTAAAAAATATATTTTCGTAAATTTTTTGAATCGAAATGTGTTTTCTATTAAATGCCGATTTACCATAAATAACCGGAAATAAGGTACTGGCCTTAATGTTGCGAAAAGGCACTTCTAGATTATTACCATTAAGATAGAAATTCAATTCTATATGATCGAATGCTACGCCAATAACATCTCCTTCGTCCGCAATATTAGTGGAATCATGACAAAGGCCATTTGTCAGTTCACTGTCCAAGGCCTCTAAGCTGCCGGTTGTCAAAAGTAGGTCTTCATTGAGATCCTCAATACCTATTAATCCAGGAGCTGTACTCTCATTAAATAAACTATTGTTCGGTGGTATTGGCTGTTTCCTCACGGGCTCACATTCATTGGCTTCATTGTTATGACGCGTTATCAAGGTTATATTATCGGAGCACAAGCACCACGATTCACGATCAGTTCCGCCTTCTTTACGAGAAAGATCTGTTCTTCTTGTAGCCAAGCCTATGGACCAATTACCTCTTTGCTGTATTTTTGCCTCAAAATAAGACTTTGACTGTACTAAAGGTGCTGTGGCTAAAGCTCCGCCTGTTCCCGTAATTCTCAAGTAATTTGACAATAATATGACATCTGCTCCTAAATATATACTTTTAATTAAAGAAATTAGCTCAACCCTTCAGAATTACCCATATGTGAAGCATCCAAATGTATTTCAGGTTCTTTAACACGGCTTACACTAACTGAAGGTTTGTGAACATTTCCATTTAAACAAGTTCTCAAGCAACAAAACATTGTCAAATTTTATTTAATTTAATTTATTTTTTCAACAAAAGCATTATTTTGCTCCTCCGTTACTTTATTTCCTTTTCATTGAAACAGCTGTTTAGCGAAAAGTGTAACAAAGTTCCCAAATTGTGAGTTGCCTACAAGATGGATGCAAACTTTTGGTCTTATAGTTGCAAGCTATACTTTTTTGGTTGCAAGCTATACTTTTTATATCAAAGGTCTTGTCTCGCTTGCTTAACAACCAAAAAGTTTAGACTGCGACCAAAAAAGTATAGCGTGCAACCAAAAAGTATAGCATGCAACCAAAAAAAAAAATGTTTAATGAGAGAAAGAAAAACACACAGAAGAGAGATAGACAAGGAACAGACAGCAAATGATAAACATAGAAATTGAAGAAATTGGATTTGCGGGAAGTGGAGATATTTACTACTATCGCGAAACGAATATAAAAATGCAATTTAAACCAACCATGTAAATAATCGCCGACATTATTAAGCCCCAGATGGCGTAGAAAAAAAACTTTAACAAAGAACTTTGTGTTCACCCTGTGGCTTTTTTTTTTAATCGCGGTTAATCATTCGCTGAGCATTCGAGCAGAAGAAGAAGAGTTTTTTTAGCAAAAATAATTGCAATTAGTTGTTCTTAAAAGCGACATTTTTGTTTTGAATTAAGTTTGTGTAACATAAAACCGGCAAAATTTATTCTCCTAGGCGTTTACGTTCATTTCTGATTATGACGTTGGTTGGTCTTGCTGCAAGGAAACAGATCTTGAAAAAGCGGTAATTAACGCTCAATAAAGTCTATTTATGCGCAGAAATTAATTTTTTCACTTTCAGAAATGCGAAATTAGCGGCAGCTTTTCCTAATGGAGTTCGTTGCCAGAAATGCCTAGAATTTGGTCATTGGTCGTACGAATGCAAAGAGAAACGTAAATTTGTGCACCGTGCGTCCAGAACTAAGCAATTGCAAAAGAAATTAGCAGAAAGATCCAATATCAACGGCGAAAGCACACAAAGCGTCGAAGCGGTTTCCAGTTCAGTTACAATCAAACGGGAAAAAAAAGGTCACAATTCTTCGTCGTCCGCCTCGAGCGAGAGCTCTTCAGATTCAGACTCCGAGTCAGATTCATCAGAAGATGATAGCGGCTCTTCGGGTAAAGGCTCGTCAAGTGATAGTTCTTCAAGTGACAGTGAATCAGATAGCTCAAGCGACACAGACGATTCGGGCTCGACAGGCAGTTCGAATAGTGATGACGACGATGGCGAGTTAGCACCGCCAAAGAGTAAAAAGTTTAAACAAACATCGGAAAGTTCTTCAAGCGGTTCTGACGACAATGACGATATATAAAAGGAGAAGAGCTTTCATCTCAAAGACAATACAACATCATTGCTACAATACACTGAAGAGGTGAATCTATATTTACACCTCTTCTCTTAAGCTTTAGTAGTTTTTAGTTTCCTAATTTTTAATTCTTGAAAATTGGATTATGTTTAAGAGATTTTCAATGTTTGCGAACACATACACACTTACTTTTTTACCTTGAAGAATGCCTTTTATCATTTATGTTCTATTGATAGATAAGGAATAACCTGTGTATTATTTTTTACCAAATATATAAAAGTTAGAATATATAGAAATGGTGTTTCACTCGTTCCTTTATTGGCGGACCTTAGATTACATTGATAAAATGATGAGGTGGATATATACAAAATGTAAGCGATGAAAGTCTTTTTTTTTTTTCTTCTATTTTTAGAACACTTGGAGTTCGACGCTTTGTACTATTTTCATTTCGCGTTAGCCTCGTTAGTTAGTTTTATTAAAGCATACTATTCCCTGAAGTTAAACTTAGTAAAAACTTTTCTTCACCGTCATCCTCAGTTTCAGTCTCATCGTCATCATCTTCTTCGAAATCGTTGTCATTACGCTTCAGAGGAGTCAACAATGATTCTAAATTGATTTGCTGCTGGTTTACTAAGTTATAGTCAGTTTGTGTCGCCAGCTCTGAAGCATTGTTCAGCAAACTATGAGCTGACATTAATGCAACTGCTTGAGCGGAAGTGCTTGGCTCATTTTCATCAATATTTTTGGTGATCTCCGAAGCGGCATAAGATCTTAATTGGAGTTCCTCCACCTAGTATCGATTGAAATATGAAAAAAGTAAAACTCACTTTGTGGGGAAGCACAAAATTTATCTCACCTTGAGGGCATTAATCGACTCGTTTACTTTGACAAGTAATAATTCCAGAGCTTTCTGAATTTTCAACAATTGTCCTTGTTGTTTTTGCAATGCACGTACACCCGTAACCCGCGACTTTTTCATATTTCTTTACACTTTTCTTCTCTAGATCATTGTGATTCTGTAAATATTCACTTTTTAGCTGCTGCTGCAAAATTGCAATCCCAGCAAACAAAACAAACAAAATTCGAATATAACCAAAGTATTCTTTTTCAGTATAAAGTTCAAAATAAGTATTAATTAATGAAATAGAGAACTCTTATTGAGCGTTTGAAGAGAAGTAAAACAATTTCGAAATTATTTTCTAGTTGTTTGCTTGATTGTGGCGGCGCACAATTGTTGCATGAGTTCTGATCAAAATATATTCTACAAAGAGTTAGGATGTATTTGATTACAATTGAGAATAATTGAAAAAAACGATTTCGAATTTGGTAACATCTGAGAGTAATTCAAAGAGAATCTGAGAGTATTCTGAGAGTACAAAAGAATCTCTAACCATTGGAAAGCTCTTTCAACAGTTTTCCCCATATATTTCCACGATTATATCGTAACTTAGAAAATAACACTATACCTAAAAAAAAACACAATATATTTGTGTATATGTATTTTGTTGCTGTAAAAATAGTACCGTGCGTGCTTATTGTTGGAAATTAGAATTTTTGTTTACAATTGCCAAGGACGAGCTATTGTTTATATTTCAAAAGTGAAATCATGTGTTTTATTACGTTTTCGCATTTATATCTTTTTACGTCAAATGAAAAAATAAAACAATAAAGCAAAAAAATCAATATCCGAGTATCAAATTTGCAAATTGTGGATAAACCACACAAACTATAATAGCTAAGTATTAAAGATTTGATTAATAACGCATGTGTATTTTATAAATTTTTATTAATTACAAGACAAAGAGAGAGAGAGAGAGACAATGTCATAAAGTAGTATAAAATAAAAGCGAAGGCGATAATTTAAAAAAAAAAAAACAAAAAACTTTTGCCTAAAACACGAAAGCCGAAAAGTTACGATTATAGTAAGTATCAGAAAGGGATTAAGATTATTTGGTTACAATTTAAAAAAAGAACAAGTTAAGATTTCGTGTTTTTTATGCACATGTGGCATCAGCTTTTTTTACTTTTGAAATATAAACAATAGCACGTGCTTGGCACGCTAATGTAAACAAAAACGAAAAATAGAGTTTGCAACAATAAACACACACTCTTGCAAATAACTAATTACAATATTACTTTTACAACAACACAAAACATACACACAAAAATAGCGGTTTATTCAATATGCACTTGGCTCGAAATCATATTTAAATTGCAAACAACTCTGTTTTATAACTGCGAAAGAGCAGTGGCAAATATTGGCAGCACTTGCAACCATGAATGCCGCGGAAAGTAATTTGCCAAGAAGCATATTTTTTGGAGCACATTTAATGGTTGTCTTACTGAGAAGCAAACGAGGTTTGATTTCAATTTTTTCTTTTCGAATTTCAAAACATCATTTTTTGCTATGTTTAAATAAAGTTTTGAATAAACAAGAGTGGTTTGAAAAAGTGACTGTGGGTGAGACGGAATTTTAAATGGTCCAAAAAGCTGATTTCACAATGATAATTGTACAGCAATACATACAAACCTTCAAGCCTTACGTTGTTTTTCTCGAATCACGGGCGCGCAGCATGACCTTAAAGATTTTAATTCTTTTCCTTCGAATTGTTTTAGTTGAGAAATGTGAGACTTTCGAAAATATAAAAGAATTGCCTAATTTCTGGTCGACAATGCAACATTTTCATTCAACCACACCCCTGTTACACCAAAATAATAGTCTCCCACCTAAATTTATCTACCTAAAATTAGCTACAGATATGGAAGTTAAGTTTTTTTTTATTCAAATTTACACCAACTGCACTGTTTCTTCCCCTTACATAAAAATATCTCGCGGAATGGAGTTCGGTGCTACAATTTTTTAATATTTTTAAAACAATATTTTTTTTTTTTTGTACTCATCAAGGACAGCCAAAAGGTAGCTTTAGAGCACCGATATAATATAATACATTTGTTCTTCTTCTTAAGCATGTTCCGCCTATCTGTCTGTTCGTCTGTGTAGTGTCTGCAAAAAACCTTTTAAAGTTATAGGTTTTAATTGTGGCAGGGAACATTAAAACTTCTCGCTGCATTTAGGCCTATATTTAAAATGGGCCATATCCTTTAAGGAATATAGACCAACCATTCGTCTGCAAGCGGAAAAAATATGATAAGACCAAAAGTCCCTTCAGGTTTTTCTCATTTTTTACCGATTTCCATCCATCCATTCATCCATCTGCCTTCTTAACAAGGTGTGAAGGGATCCTCGAAGAGAGTCCTTTAGTTTTCATATGGCATCCTCATAAAGTACATAAGTAAAACTTTGTATGTCACACGAAGAAGGACTTGAGATAGGTCCACCTTTTATTATACATTATAAGCTTGTCTGTCCGTTTGTCCGCCTCGTTTTCTCGGATTTAATTATTGCCTTATTGCTAGACTAAGTTTACAATTTCCATGCCCATCATCATGCTGAATCATTGTAGCCTGCATGTTATCCGACCGAGCATCTGTGCTTAGGTACATTTTTATATGTAAATGCACAAAGAAATCTACTAGATAATGTGCAGATATATAGAAAAGCAGCTAAGAAGGTGTGGATTGCCCATACAAACGAAATAAACAATTGGCAACGGTACAAGCTCAGAGAAATTGGAGTCAAGGCGCCGGAGTTGTTGGTGGCGTATACCTTCATGAATTTGAAATTTAATTTTTAGTATTTAAGTCCAAAGAGAACATAACATAAAAACAAATCAAAAAAGAGAAACAAAAAAGACCAAAAAAGTTCAATGAAAATTATGTTCCACACGTCCGAATGTGAAAACAAAACAAAAATATACACTTATTCGCTAATTTTAAAAAAAAAAAAAAAGTCACACCAGAATTAAAGTTGATGCAATTATCCATAGAATTTATTGTTAAATTTATGTAAACCATACAAAGCTCCAACTAGTTGGTCTTTATATACATACATATATACATCTTAAATGTTAAGTTAAAAAAAAAAATTACTAAATCAGAAAAGTTCGATTCCTAAAGTCAATTTCTCTTTCTCTCTCTTCTTTAATTAATTATTGTGTTGTTGTGGCCGTCTTCCAATATGCGGGCCTTCACGGAAAATATGCCTTTGCCTTTTTGGGGTATTATGCAAAATCAAAACGAGTTAATTATTGTAGTGCAAGAAGCGCCGTAGGGTATCGCGATGGTCGGCCTCGCCAGACTATAATGTTCCTGCTTGTTCTCAGATGAACATAGCGGATGTTGAAGATCCCGCCAGAATCGAATTATTTGGTTGATTGTACACCCACGGAACTACAATATTTCATAGCAATTATATCAAAATCCGGCAAAGATTGTTATGGACTTGATAAAAGTGAACAAATAGGTTCACAAAGCACTTCCGTTTCAGCTTCGAATACAAACGTGAAGCTAAACGTGAACTAATTAAAACCCATAGGATTTCTTTCTTTCACAGTTATTTGTAGAACAGTCGTACATTGCGAGGTAACGAGACACTATTACACGGCAGAAGAGCGCCTAGGAAGTCAGACCTTCTGCTGAGATTTGCGTGAAGCAAGAGATAATTAATTTCACTTTTTAACCCCTTGCCCGTTTCTTATCCTTGTGTTTTATTTGCTGCGTGGAACATACAGTACAGTATACTATTGGGAAGAAGAAGAAGAAGGGAAGGGAAGGGAGCGAAGTGAGAATTTACCTTTGATCACATTTTGCGTTGGTTAACATTTTGTTTTTACATTGAAAAGAAAATGAATCTTATTTCTTCGAGTAGAGAGCAAACTTGAAACACTTTCTAAAAATTTCCATATAAGCATTGAATAGAATATTAAATACAAAAACTTCTCCAAGCCTAACACGTGATTTTTATATAAGTATAATGCGAGATACACAAAGAACACAAAATTCAAAACAGTTTTACTTTCCATATCCACCACCGGAGTAGCAGAGTAGCAGAAGTAACGGTGGTGGTTCCTTATGTTGTGGCTTTAAAGCCACTTTTAATCTCATTCCGTTTCTATTAAAGCCGAACAGCAATATAGCGACTGATAAACATACACATACATACACACACATATATATATATATATATACAAACACGTGCGCATATATATATATATGTATGTATGTATAATCTTTTTGCCCACATACAGTTGAAGAAGAATAAACAAGAAAATCATATTGATTCACTTTCATGCAAAGTCTATAAGATATTTAGTACATACACACACACACACACACACACACACACACACACACACACACACTCACATGCGCGCGCGCGCAAATAAATAAAAAGAAATAAATTCTTTTATTCTTGCAACGGACATATGACGTTAGACGGGTCCAACTGACAAACAATCAAAGTTTATTATTTGTTTATCACTTTTTTTTCATTTTTGTTTATTTATTTATTTGTTTTTTTTTTTTTTTCTTGTTCAAATCATTTCTTGGTGAATTTTTAATTTACTGAGAAAAACAACAACAAATTTAACGACAACGCTGACCTACTTACATCCAAGCCACACATGCGCGCATACGTAGAGATTTAAAAAGAAGCAAACATACAGTTATCTGGCAGGGGGACCTCCAAGGTATTTATATATATAATAGTTATATGCTATGTGTGCTTATGTGTACGTGTATTTGCTAATTAATAAACAGAACTTGAATGATTTTTTTTTTCATTCCTTTTTACCTTTCTTTCATAAATTAATGAAATTCAAGTGTTGTCGTTAGCGCGAGAGCAAGAAGAAGCATACGCGGCGAAAAGAAAGATGACTAGAAAAAGTTACGGATGCTATCTCTTTTATAGTAGAGCACAGATATGACTATGGTTTTTCATCAATGCCCCGTTGCTGTTCCACTCATCGTCACATTCACGATCATGTGACAGAGCAGAGGACAGACCGACAGACAGTTTATTACTATTAGGATTCGTATATAAATACACTTATATACGATAAATATGAATGAATATGAATGACATCATTATACAAAATTAGTAAACGAATCATCATGATATGACCAACTGATTGACATAACCTATTATGTCCTCATAGGAGAACCGAAATGTCTCATTGCGCATGAAAAAGTACGTAAAATATATGTATGGCA